AGCTGTTGCTTGCTGGGCTGGGGTTGATTTATAGGGCCTAAATACAGATTTGGAGTACCCAGGTTTGAATTTTTTTGGCCTTAGCCTTTCTCTATGACACATTTTCTCTATCTGCAAAACACAGATAAACCCCACCTCCTGGGGGCAAGGTGAGGTTTAATTTAACATCTGTAAAGCACATGGAGACCCTATGATAAAGGCTTTAGAGCAGTGTTTCTCAACCCGTGGGTTGCAACCCCGAAGTGGGTTGCAAGTATATATGAAGGAGTTGCGAACAAACTTTAAAAATGGATTCTCCTTCAGAGGAGAAAAACATGGGAAACAGTGGGCTTTCCCTTGCAGGATGGCAGAATTCCAGCCTGCAAGGGGCTGCTTGGGGTCCCCCATACCCTACACACTGGGGGGCTGGGGTTGGGGGCAGCGGGTCAGGAGTGAGGGGCACTGGGTTGAGACTGGCCATTGATGTTTACAAATGAGTCCTGGTACAAAAAAGTTTGAGAACCACTGCTTTAGAGGACCCCCACATTCTCATTACTCCCCATGTGTAAGGTGAGCAAATAAGGAAATAACGTGCCCTGTTGTGTGTGGATTCCATCCCATATTCCAATGAGTCTTGATGCATTTGTAGGGTGGGCAGCCAAGTGTCTGTGAGAATTGCCAGTGTTGGATTTGTGGGTGTTATGGCCTTATTTACATTTTACTGTAAATAAGGGGTCGGACTTGATGATCTACTTAGGTCTCTTCCGACCCTACATCTATGAATCTACTTTTCCAAGCAAGCAGCTAATTGCTCCTGTCAACCTTACAGGAATTCCACTACAGAATCCCATCTTTGTTGGCCAGTCCAGTTCCTTCTCCTAGTAATGCTCCCATTGGACTTGATCCTGTTGCAGTAAAAGGCAAAACCAATCCTCCTATTCAGAGGGGTCAGCTGACAGGTTACTATAACCACCTCAGCTCTCCGTAAGCAAAAAGACCACTCTAAATAAGAGCAGAGAGTACTTAAATCAGCTATCCTAGTCAAGTCCCTACACCAGCTTCAGCACTGTGGTATCCAAGCATCTTCCATAGTAAAATAAATCTTATAGAGCTGCCAGTTAAAATATTTTCCCATTGCCCCAATCAGAGGGAGCAAGGCCTGAATTGATTTTTTTTACTGGTATGTATTTATTCTTTTTTTCCCCAAGTCTTAGAAATAAATAGATCAACAGCCATTCATTGGTGAGCTTTTCTTTCATACAGTAACATGGATGCAGGGGAGATAGCTGAGCCTGGTGCATCAAACTGAATTTTTATCCTGAACCTTCCTTCTATTGGCTCTCCTGGGCCTCAGCCAGACCTTTACACCGCCTTCACTGCATCTCTGCGTGCATGTGGTGGGTTTGCTAATCATAGCCTGTACTGAGGCAGCTCCTTCCCAAAGGCAATGCTAACAGATTCTGCCTGTGGTAAAGCATGGAAAGGGAGAGGTGGAGAGAACTTTACTAAGTTGTAGGAACTTCAGATAATTACCAGTGAATATAAATCCCCAAAGCGGCACATCCAATGCGCTTCAGCATTCAAGAGGCCCAGCTGTCTCCAGTTAACACTCTTCCTATCCCTAAGGGACTCTGGCAGCTGGCAGAGCATGATTAATTGTTCATATGTGTGGGATGGTGAGAGCGGTAGGTCTGTGCAGCTGAATGTGTGCTCATGAATATTCATTAGAGGAATTTCAAACATCTGGGAAGGGCATCTTATCTGGAGAAGGCACAGATGGAGTTAATGGAATGAAACACTTTAGGCACCTCAAAGCCATTTATGTTTTGGCTGGATGGCAGCAGTATCCAGGGAGGCAGCTACTGAGATTAAATGTTGTTTATGTAGGCTATTATACAGTGAATAGGGTGAAGTTAAAAGGACAACAAAGGCAAGGTATAAAGAAAAAGATTCCTGAGAGATGTTGGGCTAAGTGGAAAAGGATACTAAAGCCATTCTCAGTCACAGAAGTAGGACAGACTGTACGCTTCCATTTTTTAAGTTGTTTCCCATTTATTGTTAAATAAGAAGTGGGGAGACATAGCAAGGTGTCCCCCATCTAAACATTAACAGCCCCCCCGCTTGTCCCTCATCGCAAGAACTGGACCTCAGGTTCTTGCGGAACGTGAATACGTACATGGCCCCTGTCTTTATGTTGGGCAAAAAGAAAACCCTCACTTCAACCAACCCCTAACTTAACCCTTTGTTATAAAAAATAAATTGCAAGAAGAATAAGAAAAAAGCAGTTTAATTTGCAGCAAGGGAAATTTAGGCTACATATTAGTAAAAGCTTTCTCACCCTGAGGGTGGCCAAACACTGGAACAGGCCATCTGGGGATATTGTAGAACATCTTGCACAGGAAATATTTTTTAACAGATTACACAAACATCTCTTGAGGATGCAAATGACTTTTGATTGCTGGCTGTGGCATGTGAAAGCATTTTGCTTGGCACATGTGCCCTTGGGTGTATGGTGGGGAAGGGGCCAGGGCTGCACTGCCATAGAAAACATTGGGCCCCTTGTGGCTCCCCTGCCATCTGCCCTTGGGGCGCCAACATCTTACAAATTGAGGTTGTGGGTGTTTTTGGCACTCTACCAAAAATGTTGCTGACCTCTGCTCTATGACCTCTTCTCCCAACCCTATGATTCTCACCAGGGTTTAAAATCTGGATGTGAATGTAGCTGACACAGTGGAGTGAGAGAAGAGAGAAATACATACAACCATAGCGTGGGTTGTAATCTGTCTGCCATGCAGGGGTTCTCCAACCTGTATTATTGTCCCTTTTGGACTGCCCTCTAGTCCTCTCTAGTGGGTGTGGAGGACCAGGACTCAATGCTCACTGCTCACAGTGAGTTCTGTAGCTTGAGACCATCACTATTTATAACAGGCCTGAGGCTGCTTCCAGTGTATTAGGAGAGATCACTGCTTGTACCTAGTAGTGCCACTCTGGCTGATGAGGAAAATATGTAACCATCTAGGTAGGAATGGTTGAGTAGGTTTGGATAAAAGAAACTGTGCAACCCAAACTCAGGACCATCATCCCATTCTGGAACCAAATCCACATGAGGATTTAAAACATTATTTATCCACTTCTGGTCCCTAACTGGCCTGGAAAGTCTGCATTCATGCATAGAGTCTAGAGACTTAGATCATAGAACCATAGGTTTGAAGGGACCTCAGAAGGTCATATATTTCAACCCCCTGCCCAAAGCAGGAGCATCCCCAACTAAATCATCCCAGTCAAGGCTTTCTTTTGCTGGGTCTTAAAAACCTCCAAGGATGGAGATTCCACAATTCAAAGAAGCTTTAGCAAAATAGTTAAACCTCTGGAAACTTTTCTGAATTCAACCCAAACTTTAGACTGTTTAAAATGTTGAATTTTTAAAGCTCTGCTCTCAGCCAGAGAGTTTTAGGAAAGGATCAGTTTTCCCACACAGTGCTGTCAAATTGACCCTGAGTCACTTGGCCTTCAGGGCATTGTATAAGTTGCAACACCTGACTACAAAAAGTTTTCCCCAGAGAACAAACCTCACCTTTTACAGAGTTCAGTGCAGGCTGTGGTAGGAATTAGTGTGAATTAGTGATGTGTGAACACCCAAGCAGTGCAGATCTGATCAACAAAGCCTACACTATCAAGTTAGGTACCTCACAATCAAACTTTGATGTTTTAATTCTGGGAGCTCTGGTTCATTTTCCCCAGGGTGTCAGTCTGAGGGGCTCCGGGTGGGGGAATGTGCTTAGTTCTTTATCAAGCTTGTGTTGATATTAGCCAACAGGTTCTATATTTTGCTTTAAAAATATGTAAATGTATCTAGAGAACATGTGATAATGTGTGATGGACACACTGTCAACCCCAAACTGAACAAATGAGAAGGGGAGGGCTGTCATTAGGAATATGATCCCTGTTTTGTGCTCCTCTTCTTGTTGCTAGATGGTGGGGTTATTTTTGTCCTTATCCCCTCTACCTCCAAGTAACCCCAACGGCAGACAGATAATCCCACACCATAGCTCCATATAACTGTTTCTTTCAGTTCACCCTGTGCCACTTTCCCTAGTACAGCTTCAGTGACAGGTGTCAAACAGCACCTGGCCCTCAAGTTGTCATTCTTCTGGCAGCTTTTGGAAGAGGAATGCCAAGGATATTCAAGCAAGCTCCAGCCAGGTGCTCAAGCCACTTTGTGTGCAGGTGAAGCTGTTCTGGAGGTGCTGCATTTGTGGGGGGCATGAGCTAAGTCAGGAGTAAAACCAACGGCATGTGTTCCCCCCCCATGCGTGTAAGGATGCAGAGGGGGTCAGGGAAGGGGGCTTTCATTGTAAAGCACTTTTTTTCTCACTTGCTGGTTTTGAACCTCTATTTGCCAAGGTCATCTTCTTCCCTTTCCCCAGTCTGACTGTATTAGCATATGTCTTCTTGTGCTAAAGACATGCCGGTGCGAGGGAGTTTCATGTCTGATGGCTGAATGAGGTCCTTAAGAGTCAGCGTCCCTGAGTCCTTTCACCAGCTCCGCCGCTGTCCAGTGCAATGGCTCAGGACCGACGCAAAGCAAAGAAGAAACTGTGATTCTCCGGGGTGCTCTCCAGGGTGGGATCAAATATGGAAACGACAGCAGTTCCCGGCGAGTGATGTAGTACAGGCAGCCCTCGACTTAAGACGTTTCGAGTTACAACGAACAGCACTTTTGCCTTTCTGCTGTCGGTTTTGACCTCACGATGCTTGATCCGATGTCGCACCAAGTTCGCTGCGTTGGCCATCTCCCTGGAGAACATCTGTCCAAACTTCCTCGGACGCTTTCTTCCCGAGAACAGACGAGACTCCAGAAAAACCTGCAGCCGGGACTCACTCCTGCGAAGACGCCTGTCAAGAGCCCTTCAGCAAGTCCAGCAAAGTCACCTCAATCAATACGACGGCTATTTACAATATAAATACATTCATGTAGCTATATTACTCATCTATAATTGATGGAGTTTAAAAATCTGGGTTACTTTTGGTGAAATTTGGGTATCGGGCTTTGGTTCAGGAACCAACCCCCCATGGATGACATTGCTCCTATGGGGAAATCGGTTCTGAGTTGTGACGTTTCGACTTAAGACGCAGCAGTCGGGACCCAGTTGTGTCGTGAGCCCGAGGACGCGGGTCCCTGTCCCTGTCCTTGTCCTGCCTGCTGGGGCACCCGCACCATCTCGCTTTTGCTTTAAGGACTTTGGCTGGGAACTGGGCAGCGGGGCGGCGGCTGCAGCGGTTGCATGGCGTGGACACAGCGACGTTATAGCTCAATAGCTCCAATGCGCAGCGAGGGCGTTTCCATGGCAACCGGGCGCCGCTGGCCCTTTAAGGCGCGCGGGCGGGGCCGCCCTTGACGACGTGGAGGCCACGGCGACGCTCTAGCCGCCGGCGTGTCTTTCTCTCTGGTTCTCCCTATTTCTTCCGGTTGCAATATTGTTACTTCCGGGGCGTTGTCTTGCCAGGCGGTTTCCGTTTCCGTTTCCCGCCACTAGCGGCCGCGCGGTCCATGCCGGCCCCAGGTGAGTCCCGGCTCCGGGCCCAGGGGGGGAGCGGGGGTTATCCGCAGTCCTGGGCCTGGGCGGGCGCTGCTGTGTGGCCGCGCGCCGGCGCCGCCTCGTACCAGCCAGCGCCCCCCCGCGCCCCACAACAACCCAGGCGGCTCCGGGCGGGCCGCGGGCAGCAGCAGGTGTGAGCACGGCAGAGGCCGCGGTGGTCATGTATGATGCTGCCTACACTGCCCCCTTCTCCCCGCACTGCCCTCCCTCCGGGGGGTGGCTCCTCGCGGCGTCCGGGCGCCACAAACCCTCCTTGTCTCCTCTTCCCCGTCTAGGTTCGTCTCTGCCCGCTCGCCGCGCCTCTTATCCTTATTTTTTTCCTATCTGGTGTAATAGCCAGACCGACCTTGGCACCAGTAAGTAATAAATCTATACAATACGTAGCCAAAAGCATGATCCTTGCCTCAAGGGGAGTCTATAATCACAGGGATGTTCTCTCAAGACCCAGTTTTAGTGGCTTGGTTTATGGAAGTGGTGAATCATCACTTGAAAGAGGTCATGGGAGGCATGTGCTTCACAGGGGCTTGATTAGGGACGTTAGCTTAGTCCCCACTGAGGTGTAGGTCAGGGGTAGGGTAGGGGTAGGCAGTGTGGCACTCGAAGGCATTTTTCTTGCCCGCGCACTTCTGGGTGGATGATGGGGAGGGGGCCGGGGCTACATGGCAATAACAAGGATTGGGCCCCTCGGGCTGTCTCGCCATCCGCCCCTAACGTGCCAGCATCTTACAAGTTGAAGTTGCGGGTGCGTTGGGCACTCTGCCCAAAAGCATTGCCGACCCCTGGTGTAGGTAATGGGTAGTGTGTGTGTGGTGGGGGGGGATGTTATTCTAAACAGGAAAATCCTGTGCTGAAGGAGATGGCCAGGAAAGCAAAGCGGTAATGGGGGTCTTGTTTCTCAAATGCTCTTCTTTGAGGGCCTGGTTCTGAGACAGTGTTTGTCCCTCGGCCCCCAAAATCTGTACAAAGAACATCTTCAAAAGCCCACTCACAGGCTTGTAGCCACAGTTCAAGCCTTCCCTGAATCCTGGGTAGATGTTAAAGTAAAACAGTCATCGCTGCAAATGACCAGCAGAAAGGGCTATCCTGTATTTGTGTCTTCTGCATTTCCAGTCCAGCTGTTCATAGTTGTGGAAAGCTCCAGCTCCGATCCGATCCCACCCCAACTCAGTGTTGTCTCACTTGATGCGACTTCAACCAGACAGTGGAACGATCAAGGAGACCTAGGAGGGCAGCATGTTTGCAGGAGTGATGTAACAAATTACCAGGTGTCAGTGGAGCTGGCAAACCTGCTATTAAAACTCAGACACCGGAGCTCACAGAGGTGCCAACAATTAGGCATGTAGGCATTTCTCTGGGGAAACCTCAGCTGGTTTTCAAGACTTAATTGCCTGTAGGCATTTGATTTGTCTTGAGGGTGGTAATTAGAACCAAAGAGCATCCTAGTATCGGGAAGCAAACTGTATTAATTTAATCTTGTCTGTCAGTCTGACCCTGTTGACTGTAGTCTCTACTGACACAAGCCTTGTGTTGCTTGAGCTGTGGCTGCAGAGAACTGTCTCTTTCCATTGAGTAAAACAGGGTTTGGGGACCTTTCATAATTCAGGCATCCTCTTTAGAGCAATTGGCCTGGTACATGTTAATAAAGTGGTGGTTCTCTTCTAATAAAATGTAGCAGTAATAGCGTATGATTGTTGTGGACCACTGATCCTTCTAGATAAAAAGGTGAGCTGCATTCTTATGTTAACAGTACTATGACAACATGTTTTGCTTTGCTTATAAATGGGAAAAATAGTGACTCATGAAGCTTTAGAAGTAGTGACACCTCAAAGCCTGTGGTATGTATGATTTGCCCTGCTCCATCCTCTTGCCAATCATAATGTAACCTGGAACTTGTAACAGAAGTGATTATTTCATTAGTATACCTGAAAAGGCAACGGAGCAAAATAGATTGTCCCAATAAATAATTCTTAAATGTCCTGTGAATAGCCTGTAACACTTTCCATGCTTTCTTGTTCAGGGGCTCCATTGTGTGAAGATTAAAACCCTGTTGATCAGAAAGTGGCTTTTTAATGTCGGTTATCTCCTGGGTAACTTAATTCAGCTGTACTTAAGAAAAATGCTGAGATACAAGATTGTGATGGTCTGCTTTCTCTAGGAAAATGTTAATGTTAGAATAATAGTCTTAGACTGCAGTTAGTGAAAATTTCACATGCATACTGCTGGGCATTAATCTACTCTGAGGGTCTTTCCATGCTTTTGCAGACTTCTTTATTTGTTCTAGTAAATGCTGCTCTGCTCTGTACAAACCAACCTGCATTCATTCTGCTTGCTTGTGCAACAAAGCACATGTCCAAAATAGGTACAAGTAGCACTGGAGAGTCATCTATATTTTACAACACACCAGTAACTATTAAAGTACAATATAAAACCGATGTTTTATGCAATCTCTTTAGACCTTTGGTAAAAAGGAAGACTTGGAGCATGAAGTAGCAGAATTCCTTGTAATCTGTAAATCTTCACTTCCGACTTGAGGTTACAAGTCTAAAATAATCGTTGAAAGGTTTCAGGCAAGATACTGTACGCTGCTTAGAAGGGAAAGTATGATATAGTTTTTTACAAAAGAGTTAGTTCGGTGCCTGTTCTTGTAAAATTTAAAAGCTACAGCAAGTAAGTCTCTCTTGTAAGTTAAAGTTAAACATTTAATTAAAGTATAGGCACATACTGATTTCTCAGTAACTCAGCTTCAAAATAACAAACCAGTATGCACACACAGCAGCAAGGAAGGAGTTGAAAAGGGAAGTTATTTTACTGAGACCTCCAGTCTCCCTCTTTAGTTAGTAGCTTGTCAAATTATAGTATGAATAAAGGACATGCAAAGACTTTGTTAACCTTTTACATTTTTAATTGCTTTTTCTAACTTTGATGCTGAATAACTCATCTGATCAACATCGTCCGGAAGTTGCTGTCTTTGTGTAAAGTAAGAAGTTGTTGTGTTTTTACCTTTGCAAAATTGTCTGAGTTCAGTCTCATCTCTACACTCCGTTGAGGACCAGACCATCTTGAGCCAGGCACGCTCCGCTGTGATGGGCAGCCTGTCACTTGCTAAGGCTGCCTTTGTTTGCAGAGTACTAAATTAATGGACCATCTTGGCATGGGGACTACTTGCTTGCAGTCCTGGGGCTCTTCTGTCAAGCTGGCCAACAGCTCATCAAAACTTCCTCTCCAGTGAAATATGTTGCATTTGCGCTTTTCCAGAGAGCGTGTGCCACTTCTGAATCCTACATCCTTGTCTCACAAGGATACTGCATAGCAGATGTGTATAATGCCCACGGTATGAAATCTGCATCAGTTTAATCAAGCAGCAATTGATAACTTGTAAGTGTGCCATTAACTGATTATACTTATGCAGTTTGCTTCATTGCTCACAGTGCACTCTGCACTGCTCTGACCTGTAGGTGAGAAGCCTTTTGAATGGTGTGCTGGTGGTCGAGTGTCCTGGTTATTTGTTTCTAGATGACTTGGACTGGAAGATCTCCTGGTATTACGGTGAGGCTACTGTAGCTACACTTCATTTTGACTATCACTGGATGCAGTCTCTTTTCCTATAGGAAGCAATTTGCCTAAATGCCTTGAACCACATGAATAAAATTCAACTCTTGGATCTGACTTCTCTCCTGTAATTTTTTTTTAATGTCTGCCATATAAGGAGCATGAGCTGAGTGAAGGCCTTCAGCACCACAGGTCTCAGACCAAATTAATACACCACATGCACTTCTGATCTTTATATATGGACATTATGTGCTTGAGGCAATGGGGGTTCTTTCTAATGAAAAGCAATGCCTTGAGGGTATGAGTACGTTCAGCCTGGCTGCCTGTAAAGTATTTTAAGAACTTGTTTAATGTGGTACCACACTTTCTCCACTAGGGGGTGAGCACGTATTTGGAATGCTCGAACTTGATTTTTAACCTAAAATGAGATCTCTGGGTTCTTTTCATCAGTAATAAATAAAAGATATCGCCTATACCTCTAGAGTTTTTGTCTCTTTTAATCAGTAATGCAGCAGAGTCATGGTACAGTTAACATTCATAGATATTAGGGTCAGAAGGGACCTCAATAGATCATCGAGTCCGACCCCCTGCATAGGCAGGAAAGGGTGCTGGGTTTAGATGAATGTTCATCTTGGGGTCAAT